GCGCACGGGGAAAAAGTGTCCAACGCGATTCCGAGGCATCGTGAAACGAGGATTTTTATGGAGATTCCGGTGAATTAGCGAAAATAGCGTGGTATTAGTGTCTCGATTTGTGTAATTTTTTGACAATGGCTGGAGTAATGCGATTTAATGGAAAATTGGTATTTTTCTGGAAATCTGAAATTTTATTGTTACACCTTGTAGGTTTTGCCGAAAGTAGTTTAGTAATTTACGATTTTGTACTTGGAGCATTTGTTGATAGGATGCAGCGAAAATTTTGAGAACCAGTTTTGTTTTGGGGAGGAAAGGTTATAAATGCTTATGGATTTATTTGGTTTTATTTCTTTGGATAATTTGCTTTATTTCGATACAGTTACGGTGTCAAATTCTCTCGAATGAAACTAATAATTCTCAACCTGATATTATCCAATTTTCCAATCGTCGTTTATTAGCTATTAGATTGTTGCAGATGCAATGACCGTGGTAACAACGAAACTTTCCACGGCTTAGTTTTAACGAAACTAATGTTTAATGATTAGCGTGATCCACTTTGGTTCAACACGCTTTGACTATCGCGAAATTTGGTCATTAGTGCCTTTGTTAAAAGGAAACTTTGAATTTCTAACGAAAACAGGATGAAAACATTGTATTTCTAACAAAAACGAAAAGATAGCTTTGCATTTCTAACAAAACCAAAAAGTAAGCTTTGAATTTCTAACGAGAACTTTGCATTTCTAAGAAAAACAAAAAGAAAACTTTGCATTTCTGACAAAAAAGAAAGGAAACATTGAATTTCTAAGGAAAACTTTGCATTTCTAAAACAAAAGAAAACTTTGCATTTCTGAAACAAAAGAAAACTTTGCATTTCTAACAAAAACAAAAAGAAAACTTTGCATTTCTGACAAAAGAGAAAGGAAACATTGAATTTCTAAGGAAAACTTTGCATTTCTGACAAAAAAGAAAGGAAACATTGAATTTCTAAGGAAAACTTTGCATTTCTGAAAAAAAGAAAAAAAATTTAACTGTTGCCTTTTCTTAGAACTCATGAATCAAATTATGGATAGAGTACGAATTATTTAGTGATAGCATTAAGCTCACGCTACATCAGTAAAATGTAAAAGCTCCTTAAACCATCAAATTCCAAACAAAATAATTTTTCTTTGGATTTCAATAATTTTGCAATGACTACCCACATTTAACTCACATTCAATTACACTCCCAATACTTATGAAAAAAACGTATATATAGTACTAGCATATTGAATAACAAACTTCTGAAAATTTGAAACGCTTGTAAAATAAATATGCAACATACGCGGCAAGCGTAAAAACAGAATTTCAGTTCGAAACTAAAGTGACCCGAGTAATTAGCAACTATGCTGACCGTTTACGAGCAACGCTGTCGTGAACTACAGAGGCTTGTACGCGCGATGTACAAGCTCGATATATGGCGCAACTTGCGCGGAGACTCTCTCAAGATCGCGGTGTTGTTGGTCGTTGTCCATGGACAAAGGAGAGAGAATCCGCAAGCTAAGACTAGAGAATTTCAGATTGCTCCTCCTTTTGCGGGGCAGAACCGCGGCCGTTTGACTCCTTCGCTACTGAGAAACTTCCGAGATCAGAAACTTGGACGCGTAATTGTTTTAACGGTCTGAATCGCGACGTACATATATCTTGATTCGGGAGGGGAGGGAAACTATGCGTCAAGTAGACTACTGATCGAAACTACGCTCAAGTAGAGTAGGTACGTCTTTAACAAGTCCTCTTCGTTTACCAAGTTCACGTTGGAGTTTCGTGAATCGAATACAGCTATCGACGTGTCTCGCCTCTTTTACTTCTCTGACACTATCGGGAGTCTTTGTTCTATCCCGGTGAAATGTTCGAATTGGAAGTTTCGCGTTGACATCGGAATTTCTATGCTCTTTACAATTCCTTGTTTAGTGTCCCTTCTTTGCTACTTGGAATGATGGAATTAGTGTTGAATGTTGAGTGTAGCTTCAAGTATAGTGGAAGTTGAGTATAGTGGGAGCTGAGTGCAATTTGAAATACAGTGGAAGTGGAGTACAATTTGAAAGACAGTGGAAGTAGAGTACAGTGGAAATTGAGTACAGTGGAAGTTGAGTGCAATTTGAAATACAGTGGAAGTTGAGTAGAATTTGAAATACAGCAGAAGTTGAGTATAATTTGAAGCATAGTGGAAGTTGAGTATCAGTTGAAATACAGTGGATGTTGAGTAGAGTGGAAGTTGATTATAGTGGAGGTTGAGTATAGTGGAAGTTGAGTACAATTTGAAATACAGTGGAAGTAATGTACAGTGGAAGTTGAAAGTGTTTATGGTTAAAAAAATTTCACAAAAAATAGCCCACCTAGTTATCTTTTTTGACTACTTTGGGAAAAATGACTAAATATAAAAAATGAAAATCTCAGCAATAAGGCAAAAAATAAAAAATTCTACTGGGAATTGGACGATATGAGTATCCGAGGTGTCACAGAAAATCAGATAAAGTAGAATGCAAGTTGGCTTCGACGTCAAAGAAATTTATGCCGAATTTACCGGAAATCAAATAGAAAATTATATAATATTCATTACAGCGACTATTAAATCCAACGTAGCACAAAACAAACCACTTGAACTAACAACAATGTCTCATTTAGCCCTTCGACAATTAGCCCCGAAACGGAGCAACAAGAAACCGAAGAAATTTAATCAAGATACCCCGAACAAGTGTCTCCATTTATTCCCATTAATCCTATCTCAAACATTTCCCAAGCACAAAACCCTGTATAATAACCCTTCCGTTTTAAACCAAGCCAGGCGAACGCTAAACGACAGAACAGCCACGGTTACTATTAAACTCTTCCGCTACGGCCACAGTATCCAGGTTCTTCCATGGAAACGCTTGATTTCGGGCTTACAGGCCGGGCCCATCTATTTACAACGTGTCACAGAGATACTCAGCCATATTTTCCTCTCTTCTCTCTCTCTCTCTCTCTCTCTCTTCTTGTTTTTTTCGGAAAGCATTATTTAGCGGGAGCCACTTATATTCACCGGTGCAACGAGCCGGCCATTATAATTCTCCGGAGGCAAATAACCACGGAGCTTTACCCTCGGTTCGCTCGCTTTCATAAATCGAGCCACCAGATCTCTCCTCCTTGGACAAAAGGGACGACGAGTATTGCAAGCACCGGTTAGAAACTGCCTCGAACAAGAGATAGAGAGGAAGAGAAAGAGAAGGCCAAATTGAGAGAGAAGGGCAAGTTCAGAGAGGAAGAGAGAAGGCCAAATTTAGAAAGAAAGAAAGAAGGCTAAGTTGAGAGAGACAAAGAGAGAGAAGAAAGCTAGGTTGAGAGAGAGAGAGAAGGATAGGTTGAGAAAAGGCCAAGTTGAGAGAGAGGATAGAAAGAAAGAAAGAAGGCTAAGTTGAGAGAGACAAAGAGAGAGCAGAAAGCTAGGTTGAGAGAGAGAGAGAAGGATAGGTTGAGAAAAGGCCAAGTTGAGAGAGAGGAGCCCAAATTGAGAGCAAGAAGGCCAGCTTGAGAGAGAAAGAAGAGGCCAAAATGAGAGAGAAATAGAAAACCAAATTGAGAGAGAGAAGGCCAAGTTGAGAGAGAAAGAGAAAACCAAATTAAGAGTGGGAAGGCCAAGTGGAGAGAGAAATAAGGCCAGCTTGAGAGAGAAAGATATGGCCAAAATGAGAGAGAAGACCAAGTTGAGAGAAAAGGCCAACTTGAGAGAGACAGAAGGCCAAATTGAGAAAGGGAAGGCCAAACTGAGAGAGAAGGCTAACTTGAGAGAGATAGGGAGGGCCAGGTTGAGAGAGAGAAGGCGACGTTGAGAGAGGTCCAGGTTGATAATGAACCCAAGAAGATACGAAGGTATCGCGGAATAAATCCGTGGCACGGAATGAATGATAAAGCACGGTGGTAGGGGGAACGTTCCTCGAAGAACACTAGGATAGTGTTATCGAGGCGCACGAGGACACAGCTAGTGTTATCGAGGTGCACAGGCTACAATGCTCCGCGCTCTTCTCTCGACCCTGCTGTACAACACAAGAGCGCTTAATGAACTGAGAATTATCCTGGTGATCATCGAAAAGAATGGCCCATTTGCAGCCAACTCTTTGTTGCTCGAAAAACGAGCTTTTTCGTGCTCTTGTTATTCCACGAAGAGGTTTAAAAAGTGGAGAAACAGAAGTATGAGTGATTCGGGAAATTCTGCCGGTGATAAATCATGTCTCAGTTCTTTCCTACCACGGTTTCGTGTTTCCTTTTTCTCTTTTTTTTTTTTTACCACGGGTTATTTCGTGAATTATTGCTCCTGTTGAAGCAGTATTTTTACGAAGAAGATGACGAGTATTTGTAATAAATTGTGTGTGTTTGGGATTGGAAGATCCTCTGAAAGATTGTAAGGGGATTCTAAAAATATCGGAAGCTATAGAGCGGTGACGTTGGTAAACGTGCACAGCTGGCAAGCGTATTTAATAACATTTTGCAACAATTTAAGAAGAGTAGCTTTGCAGAAACGCAGGAGAGACGAAATTTTGATTCCCTTTACACTTTCCTTTATTTTATAAAAATTCCACTAATCATAGTAGACTCGTACAGATATTCCTAAAGACAATATTACAAAATAAGAAGTCACTTTTTACTTAAATTAAAATTTTACACAATATTGTCAATTTTTAACGATTTAATTAGACACCAAGTACCTGAACTTGCATGTGTAACATAATACACGTACCGATGGATTAAAAATTTCATACACCTAGCTTAATTTACTTATTCAGCATCAACTTACAACAAACATAAAAACGTCATCAAAGAAGCCTAAAAAAGAAACTTGAAATTTCCTAAAAAATACAACACGAAGAATACCCACGAAAATCGTGTTGCTTAAAAGTTGCAGGTAACCCCGCCGATAAAAGCCTCGATATGAAATCAACGAAGAAACCTCGAATGTACAGACGATAAGGTGAATTTCACCAGTGTACTTCAAACACTCACCGTTTCACAACCGAAGCAGAACTTCCTTCCAGCGCAGCTACTTCCCCGATGAAGCTTCTCAGCCACTCGAAGTCTGAAACAAAAGAAAAAATCCAGAATAACTGATTAGCCGAGGTGGAATTGAGTTTCGTCGAGATTTTATCGAAATTATCGGCTCCCATTTTGTCCCTCACGAAATAAGTTTCCCTCGCCGTTCGCGGTGCTGGCCCTATTAAAAATTCAAAAGCACGATCCGTATGGTCAGGTGGCCAGGGGGAAAAAGGAGAAAGAAAGAGAGAGAATTGAAAGAGAAATCGAAGTTCTAACTCGGTTGCGGCGTCGACGAAAAAGCACCCCCTGACCTTCGAGGATCTCCAGAGACGATCGTTCCTTCCCTTCGTTCATCCCAGGAGATTCTTCGCCTTTCCCTCTCGACAAGAAGTTTCGTTCGTCTGCCTCGCTTTCAGCCGCCTTCCCTTTGGAACCGGCAAAGAAATGTATTATATCGACCTGCAGGAAATAGTGTCGGAAGTACGAACCCTTTCGAGAGGGTTCCTCTTCGGTTTTCGTGTGTTTCGCGTGCTAGGTGTACGCGTCTGTTGTTGCCACGGGATATCGAGGAAGAACGGGAGAGGATGATTTCTTATTTAATCCTCCAGGCGAATGCCGCCACTCGTGAAACCAGATTTAATGAGAGGTCGAGTCAACAATTACCCGGAATGAGGATGTGACTTTTTACTGATTGTGAGATTACACTGTTCCGTTCGAGAGTTGCAACGTAACTGTCGTTTGTTTTGGAGACGATAAGTTGACAGCTCTATTGTTAGTGTGCACCAAGGAATGATGTCACTGATTGTTGAAACTGTTGAAAAACTGCATTTAAATCTCTCTCTCTCTACTTTACATTCGAGGTTTTAACTTAATTGCTCATTCCTGTCATTCCTTTTGGAGACGTTAAGTTGAGATCTCTATTATTAGTGTGCACCAAGGAATGATGTTACTGATTGTTGAAACTGTTGAAAAACTGCATTTCCAGATAATGGAAGATTCCTTCTATAGTTCTGACCACAACCATCAAGAATGTCACCTTTTTGAACCACTCAAAATAATTTTGAAGTGTAAAATATCTCAATCTCTCTAAATCTCTTAAATAAACATATTTTATTCACAATATACGAAAACATCTGTGCAATTATAGACCAAATGTGTTAAAAGTGTGTCAAATATATTAAGAAACTGTGCAGAATCAATGTTATAAATACAATTCCTACAACATTGATCCTCCATTTATCGTAGAAATTGATCGATCAATAAAAGCTTGTCCTCTTTTTTCCAAATTTCACGATATCACAAAATTCATTTTTATAAGAACATCAGCGAAGAAATTGCGTTCTATTTGCAAAATTTGGAATGTCCAAATTTTCAAACAGACAAAACTGTCGAATTTTTCAATTTACAATATGGAATTCAAATTTCACTCGTTCGAAATTTCCACACACACAAAACCCATCGCGTCGAAGCAATCACGAATTCCGGCAAATGGAACTGGTTGTGTCACATGGAGAACTCAATTTTAATTGGGATTCTACACCCGGAGAATGTTTTTCGAGGCGCAGAAACGAGAGCAAACATCGTTCGAAAACGGATAAACGAAGACCGCGACTCTAGACGAGCCTCGAAATAACGAGAACCGACGATTATCGACAGCTGTTCGGCGATATCTAGATTCTAGAAGACTCGGCGAGAGATCGTCGATCGTATATTACAGCGGCAGATATGAAGAGGTTTATAAAAGTGACCCACTTTCCTCCACACAATTGCACCTCTTTTCCCCCTCACGCGTAAAATCAAATTTTGCAATACGAAAAGAACCGGGCTTTGGGCAAATATCGTATTTAAATCTCAAACCAACCGAGACAATTCCCGCATTTCTATCGCAAGATTTTTCCTTCGAAATGCGGAACTGAAAGTGACGAAAAAGGAGGATCCAATTAATTGACATTTTTCCAAATAATTCCGAACACTTTCAAATATTGAAATTTATATATTTAAAAGTTATAATTATTCCTGATAAACCGTATCTATGTAATTTTAATTTAATCGAAGCTGAAATAACAGAACCAATATAAGAAACGTGAGCTTTTAATAATCAATTACCTAATGTATAGTATAGAATAGAATAAATTTAATTTCTTTACTTCTAAAACTAAAATACATAATTTTCTGTAATTACAAATAAAACAGCGATGATAAGTGTAATTGCAATCGTCAAAATCTTTCAGTTTCGTTTATCGACCGAATTTTACACTCCTCTTTTTTATATTCGAGGTCACGACTAATAAAATATATTTTACAGAAATTAGCATGGGAGAAAATATATAGACGCTCGTAAATCAAGCGAACTTGCGTTAGAACGATATTTCAGCCGTTATTCGTAGATTCTTTCTCGCTTTTCCTACACGGGATAAAACTAAATAATACTTCTCTAGCCCGAAGACGACAAATATTTATGTTACAGAGCGAGCTGACAAATTTCATCGCGTCGAATGAAATATGTTTCGCCGCGTGGATCATTTTTGATCGCGAATGAGCCGCACAACAGTTTGTAATTCCTCGCGATAAATCCTGCCTTCGCTCGGCCCGTCACATTTCTCACCAGACAACCAGTAATTGATTATTCTTTTTCGCGTTAGCATAAAGCATTTTCGCGACAATATAAAACTTTCGCGCGTCGATCGAAATAAAAATAGTAAATCTATGGAATATTATTGCCACGACTGCGGTTGTATAAAATACAAAAGGACTAAGATTTTTAATTGCAAAATTATTCAATGGAATTGCGAGATATTATAATTTCGACGGAAATAATTATTTTTCTGAACGAAGTTACCGAAAATTGTTGAATTAAATCGAGGTACTATTTCAACTTGTTAGAATTGTTGAAATACGATTATCCTTCAAGAAAAGCATTATCCTTCTATACATATAAGGAAAATTAAATTTCGCAACGAAGACAGAGATCTGAGAAACAAGAGATCATCTTGCAGAAATAAATCTAATTACAGTTCAGTGAAACAGTCGGCTTTAGTCAATTCTTCTTCTTCGGGATAAACGCTCCGATAAAAATTGTATCAAATGCCACAGAATAATTACCGATAATTCACTTTAATGGAGAGCCTTCGCGTAGATCAATTTTGTGATATCTTCAGAAGAAAGAAGTCGGAATGTAAAAATAGCATTAGCTTCAACGCAGGGAAAAAAGTAATTATTCATTTCGAGACGAGATAAATCTTATTGTGGAATAATTATCACTTAGTGCAATATCATATTTCAAATTTCAAGTTTTCTGACAAATGCAGACTATTATTTTTAGGAAAGGCAAAAGAGTACCGTTTATTCTATTCAGAAAAAAAAAATAATAACAGACTATTTGAAATTACCTTAACTATTAAAAATTTGTCAAATTTGACAAATTTTTTAAGCTACTTTGAAAATTACCTTAACCACTATAAATTTTTTAAATTACCATAACTATTACAATATTGTAAAATTACCTTAACTGTTAAAAATTTTGCAATTTATTTTGAAAATTACATTTACTATTAGAAATGTATAAATTACTTTGAAAATTGCCTTAAGTATTAACAACTTTTTAAATTACTCTAAATATTACCTTTGATTTCACAACACTAGGTACAAATACATTAGAACTATAAGACTGCCAGAATACTTGAGCAAAGAAGGAAGAGGCCAGAAATTAATAGCCCAAGCGAGATGCGGGAATTTAGAAAACTGGAACAAGTACTGGGAAGAGGAGGAAGGAAGGAGATGCGATTTGTGTGGTGATAGATCCGGAAATCTGGAACATTTGACAAGGGACTGCAGAGAAACCGACAGGGATATCAGGATGGAAGACGTAGTGAGTGGGAGACAGGACAGAAAGATTGTAGAGTGGCTCGAGAAGCTGAAGAAGAAAAGAAAAGAAAAAAGAGAGAGTGGCTGAGAACACCAAAGAGAATATTAACGGATAAGGGAGGGGTAACAATTAATGGGTAATAAGTAGGGCGATAAGTTAGTAGAGTACGAGAAAATGTGAATAGAAGAGAGAGAGAGAGAGAGAGAATAAGATAGTTTCATAAAACGTAGGTTATTGTAAACCAAGTGAAATTCATGGCTATGAGGCTGAATAAATAAATATATATTACCTTTTGATTTCTTAAGTAATTTTTAAAGTAATTTTATCTATCACACTATCACCGTCACTATCACACCCCAACTCCGATATCCCTATCTCTCCAGTGCAATTAAATACCGCAACAAAACGAACCACGAAGGCTAAGCCGTTGAAAGAACCCGACAAACGACATTATAATGCAACCTATTGTCTCCGTGTAAATCTCTATGCAATTCAATTAGAGAAATCGTCGGTTACTTATCAAAATCTAACGAGTAGGAAGTGGTCCGCTAACGCAGCGCAGCGTCCGATAAAAACTAATTGGTCCCGATGACCTTACGCAGCGAGAATAATTGCGCGCCCTTTTATCGTTCCTTACGGCACATACCGCTGCATACGATAGGAAGAGAAATCACGTGGCCGAGAGTGTCGCCATAGAAACGGCATTCTTTCCCCGTTTGATCACGCCAATCAACCGACTCCTCTCGTCAAATATCATTTTTAATTGAAACGATACAACGCCACGGTACAATAACGAATTCCGTGGGCGTGCACGGCGGTAATGACCACGGGCAAATGGGTCCATTGCAGCTGCAATTAACGTTACGTTACAATTAATATCGAGTCAACGAAGCGTCTGCGCGCTTTTCCACGAAATCGCGCTTAATCGGGCCACACACAGGCACGGCTGAAATGTCGACGGCCTCCTATCAATCGCGAGAACCCCCGTCCATTTCCATGACAACTTTCCTCTACGTTTATGAGCGACACTATATGCAGTTGCTCGCCCAGTTTTTCTTTCTTTTTTTTTTACACCGTTCGTGTGAAATTTTTTTCATTCGATTCCACGGAAAGCTTGTTTTTCTGTTCGCCGGCGATTTTTCACCATGGTGAGAGCTTTAATT